TTCTTAGAGCAGATAACAGGAAGCACAAGGGGTTTTTATAATTTTTCACAATTAAGGCACAAAACTCTGTTAACCCTTTACATCTACAAGCTGTTATTCTTCTGGTATGTGAATCACAATTTTCAGTTTCTTTGGGAATCTTCCAGTTTTATTTTGTTGTAAAATGGAAATTTTGGAAAATACAGTCTCTCTGGGTATTGGTCCCTCTTCCCCTGGAATTTGCCCTTGTTATTTGCTTATTTATTTAGTGATGACTGGGTTATTTTAGTGATGGCCACTTGGAGGGGGACCTTGCATGATACTACTACACCAGCAGCACTGTGTGTACTTAGGGTATATCCACAGTGACCCTGGAGTGACCTGGAGCTTGGAAGGGCTCTCTTACACTATTTTTCTGAGTTCAACACACTAGCTGTCAAACTGTAGTGATTTTTGTAATGTTTTGATACACCATAAATTCCTCTACTAAAGATTCTAATCAGATTGAAACTCCTTTAAAGGAATTATTTGTGATGTCCTTGTTTGATATGTGTCCCAGCCCTGAGGCGGGCTCCTCCCAGTTGTCTCACTTGCCTACTTTCTCTAGAAACAACTTAGCCTGTACTAAATGATGTTAATTAGATGCAAGAAGCTCTTCCCATTGTCTTTCAACTCTTTCTTTCTTTTCATTTTTTGTTTTTTTGAGACAGGATCTCACTACATAGTTCAGGCTGTCCTTGAATTCACTATGATGTAGTCCAGGCTGGCTTGGAACTTGTGGTAATCTTCTTTCCTTGACCTCTGGAGTGCTGGGATTACAGGTGTGTGCCACCATGCCCTGCTAAACCAATTTCCTTGGAAAGAGACCAGGAGCAGTTTATGTCTGCTTCTTTTCCTAGATAAAATTCCTGAGCCAATGTTCTGGAGTTGAATTCTGATGGACATGCACTCCAGGTGCTAAAGTCATGGTGGGTGGGTGGGAGTACAGAGACCTGAGGTCTTCTTAGTTTACCACTCCTTACAA